GATAGCTAACAAGTGGAGTAATAGGCAAGGGAAATGGAGTAGCTTGTAGCCAGCTGGAAGAACTGTTGGCACAGAAGAACTGGATTTAAATAGTAACTATGTAGAGCCGGGCTTGTGTATTTAGTAACCATGTTGAGCCAGGCTTGTGTGTGAACAGTAATTTAGCTTCAGCAATATGTCAGATCTTCCTTTCTTCAGCCTTTTCCTGCAGAGATCCTTTGTATAGTAATAATGTCAGAGTCATTTCCCTTTCCAAACTTCTAACAGGGACCATCTGTTCCACATCTCAGTATCTACACTGGTCTTTCACCAACCTTCAGAAGCTGCTCTCAGGCATTTTCTAGAAAGGCAAGACTTTTTACAAAATCAGAGAGACAGAACATGGCAAGGTCTGTTGGGAAATTTAAACCTAAAACACCTCAGAGACATTACAGTGAAAGGCACAATGTGATATTTCCATTTTCTGCATCAGAGTGGCATAGTGGTTTGAGTACTGGACTATGACTTTGGAGACCAGGGTTCAAGGCCCAGCTCTACCATGAAACCCACTGGGTGACCTTTGGCAAGTCACATGCTCTCAGCCTCAGAGGAAGGCAATGACAAATCTCCTTTGAACAAATCTTGTCAAGAAAACCCATGACTTAGGATCATGGTAAATTGGAAATGACACACAACACACAGACACTTCCCATTTTAAGCTATGAATTCAACAGAAGCTGTTTTTATAACCAATATAATTGTGAGGCTTATAATGAGGGTACCGTTTTGAGACATACACTGAGGAGCTTATCACATTACAAAATAAATTATCTATCTTCGGAGTTTTGAATTCTATTATGGGATGCAGCCGGGTACTATCACATACAAAATGCTGCCAATGCTGTTGTCCAGCTGTATTCTGCCTAAAACCGGGCTAAAATCTGTGCTCAGCTGGCTGATTAGCAAATTCGGGAGCTTCCCAACTTTGCAAATCAGCCAGCTGAGTGCAGATTTTACCCCGGTTTTAGGCAGGATGCAGCCAAGTGGCAGCATCAACACCATTTTAATAATAATAATAATAATAATAATAATAATACTTTTTATTTGATATCCCGCCCTCTGAGGTCAATCGGGATGGCTTACATAATAAAATCATCATACAACAGTTAAGAACTATTACCCC